GGCAAGAGCAGATGATGACGAACGGGAAAAGACATTTGTTCGTGGAGTACGTGTCCCGACGGATCCACTCACAGGGGGCGCCGAAGTGATCACGGCACCTTTGGCCTCCAATCTGTAACCTCGATGCCAGCAGCACAGGCGTACGCAGGATGCTCTGCGGGCACAGTGCTCATGAAGTCCGCCCCGCGCGTGACGCAGGAAACAGGCGACGCAACTCAACTCCCTTGCGCCTGAAATCGGGCGGCCGCGCACGTCAAGAAACTCAAAGAGCCCCCGCGGTCGCCCCAAAGGGCCCCGCAAAGGCCTGTCAGGACCAGGACAAAAATAGGCCTGGCGAAATAACCAACCACATGCTGCTGCGGGTACCATATGGGGCCACGATTGCGCGGGGAGCGCGCCAAGATGAGGCGGCGCCGCCATGTCGACCACGCCAATGGGGCTTCCAGTGGTACTCCACGCGGGGCCACGCACCGAGTGAAGGGTGCGCCCCAATGGGGCGCAGCCGCCATGTAGACCCTGCCACTGGGGCCTTCGAGTGAGCTGCATGCGGGGCCACGAGCCGTGCGAAGGGTGCGCCCGCATGGGCGGTACCGCCATGGGGCCATGCCACTGGGGCCTTCGGTGGACCTCCATTTGAGACCACGAAACGTGTGAGGGGTACGCCCAAATGAGGCGGCGCAGCCACGTGGACCTTGATCCAGCATGGATCCTGGCACGTCGGCGGGCCTGGCGAAACATAAATGTATCCAAGAAATTAGTGTCTTGTCCGAGCCCATCGATATCCTCCTGCGTGAATGCATAAACTTCATCGCCACCCAGACTTATTCATGGTGAGACTCACGCACGCCCCGTTCGTGGCCGTTTTGCGGGGGTGCCTCAAGCGGTTTGCCTGTCTTCTGTCCCAACATCCTTGGCTACCAGAGCAGACTGTGAGGATGTCTCAGGCGGGACGCTGGTTTCAGCCCCCCCCTGACGGAAACCACCACGTGTTATTTCACTGTCCCATTCGCGGCCGTTTTGTGGAGATGTCTCAAGCGGTTTGCCTGTTTCTTGTCCCAACATCCTTCGCTGTCGGAGCAGGTTTGGAGGATGTCTCAAGCGAGGCGCTCATTCTCACCCCCCATAAGGGGGAACCGCCAGGGCTTATCTCACGGTCCCGTTCGGGGCCGTTTTGTTGGGATGTCTCAAGCGGTGTCCCTGTTATCTGTTCCAACATCCTTCGCTTTCGGAACATATTTGGAGGATGTCTCGAGCGTGGAATGGGAGGTGCGCGCGAATGAGGGGGGGAAAAGGCAATGCGGCGAGGAGGAGGAGGATGAGGCGGAAGGCGTGGATTACACGGGGAAAGGGAGGGGAGGGATAACGAGGGCGGTTGAGGGGGGCGAGGGAGTGGGAGAACACCAGGATGACGAAGGCGAAGGAGGATGAGAAGGAGGAGGAGGAGGATAACAGGAGAAAAGGGGGGTAACGCGAGGAGGCAGGGGATTAGTATGATGGCGAAGTGGGGCGACGGGGGGTAGAAGATAATAAAGAGGAGGGGTCATGCCGCATTCAATTTCCTCAGGCCCTTTCCGGCCGTTTTGCTGCGATTTGGGCGGTTCTTCGGGTGGTGCCAAGCGCTCTAATACCCAGAAGGGCGAGAGCGTGACGTTCCTTTTCATTTTCTTGTGTCTGATCAGTTTGATGGCGCCCGAAAAGCATCCTCGCTGACAGCGCGCGGTATTTTTTGGGAGCTCTTGGATTGTCCTCGGGTTGGTGTGAATCATTTTGGGCCGCATGGGCCGTCGCATCGTGATTGTCTCTATGAAAAATGATCACCTTCAGCGGTGTCGGCCGTCGTTGGGGGCAGTGTGCGCCGCCATGGCAGTTCGCATCAATGCAGAGGACGTTTGAATGACATAGGGCCGATGGGGGGGGGGGGGGACGGCATATTTGGGAGCAGTTGCGACGATTGGTATGGCCGAGCCGCCCTCATTCTAAATATGCGACGTGCTCGTTTTTTTTTTTTTTTTTTTTTTTTTTTTTTTTTTTTTTTTTTTTTTTTTTTTTTTTTTTTTTTTTTTTCTTTTCTTCTTCTCCAGGGCGTGCTGTCAGCAGGGGGAACGCCGCGCGCCTGGATGCCCCGATGGGAGCTCGCGGATTGGATTTTACAGTGCGACGGTGGCCCCAGTCCGTTATCACCGCGTGATGTTCGCCCCGCGCGGATGGCCTTGCATGTCAGACGGGTAATCCCCATCGAGGGTTTGGTGCAGTTTGCATGTTCGCCATATCCTAAGATGGTTTTTTGTTATTACTTGGACGCCTCCTACTCCTTCTCACTCTTCTCCTGCCCTCTCCTCCTCATGCCCCGACTTACTCATATACAGACTGACTCACACTCAGACTAACTCAGACACATATTCACACACAAATACCTACTCATACTCATACCTACTCATACTCAGACCTGCTCCGACTCAGACTTACTCATGCTGAGACTCACGCGCGCCCCGTTCGCGGTCGTTTCGTGGGGATGCCTCAAGCGGTTTGCTTGTTTTCTGTCCCAACATATTTCGCTATCGGAGCTGATTTAGAGGATGTCTCGAGCGAAGCGCTAATTTTCACCCCCCTTAGGGGAGCAGCCAATGGTTATCTCACGGCCCCCTTCGCGGCCGTTATGTGGGGATGTCTCCAGCGGCTTGCCTGTTTTCTGTTCCAACATCCTTCGCTTTCGGAGCAGATTTGGAGGATGTCTAGAGCGAGGCGCTCATTTTCACGTCCTTAAGGAGCCGCCGAAGGGTTATCTCACGGTCCCGTTCGCGGCCGTTTTGTGGGGATGTCTCAAGCGGGTTTGCCTGTTAGTTGTCCCAACATCATTCGTTTCCGGAGCAGATTTGGAGGATGTCTCGAGCGAGGCGCTCATTGTCACCCCCCTAAGGGGATTCAAATATTCACTGCGTGGGGCTCCCCATATGCGCATTTATTCCCATGGACCTGTCCGCCGTGAGAATCTAGGCGCAAAAAACTTTCGAATATAAACGGGTTTCAGTTGTGACGGTCTGGTCATGAAACTAACTGAGAATCAAATGGAGTGTGAATGAGCCTCAGTAGTACGAGCGCGTCTCTGCGCATGACCCTGGGTCCTCCTGGGGCCTCCTGGGGCCTCCTGGGGACCTACTGGGGCTTCTTGGGGCCTCCAGGAGCCTCTTTGGGCCCCCTGGGGCTTCCTGGGACCTCCTAGGGAGGATTCGTGCCCGAGGAGAGGCCCAATCTATAGCAACAGTCGTACATAAAACATGACGACTTGGAGCCGCAGAAAAAAAGGGGCAATCTATAGGAACACGCGTACAACACCAAGGAGTCGTGCCCTAGGAGAGGCCCTATAGGAACATAAGTACACAGGATATGGACAATCTATAGAAACATACGTATAACATCAAGGATTCGTGCCCCAGGTGAGGCCCAATATATGAGAGCATACGCAAAACACATGGGATTGGAGCCACCCCTGTTGCCTTCTGAGGCCTCCTGCTCCTGGGGCCTCTCGGGGCCTCCTGTTGCCCTCCGGAGACCTCCTGGCGCTTCCTCTGGCCTCCTGGGGCCTCCTGTGGTTTCCTGAAGCCTCCAGGAGCTTCCTGGGGCCTCCTACAGCCTCTTGGGGCATCCTGTGGCCTCTTGGGTCTTTCTGTGGCATTCTGATTCATCCTGGGACCTCATGTGGTCTCCTGGGGCCTCCTGGAACCTGTCGGAGCCTCCTGTGGCATCCCCAGGAAAACCAGCGCCCACGAGTCTGGCCACCGATCGAGACATCCTCAAAATCTGGCCCACCTGGGGGGATGAAGTGGAACGCCTCGCTCGAGACATCTTCCAAATCTGATCCGAGAGCGAAGGATGCTGGGACAGAAAACAAGCACACCGCTTGAGACATCCCCACAAAACGGCTGCGAACGGGACCGTGAGAGAACCATTGGCGGCTCCCCTTAGGGTGGTGAAAATGAGCGCCCCCCACCAGTCCTCCTGCCAAGGGAACCTGGCTGTGGTTTTCGGCGACGCACCAGCGCCCTTGGCTAACAGCGTTGCAACGCACGCGCTGCATTACGCGGAAGTAGTAAGATGATATGTTTCTGACATGATGCGTGGGCGCGCACGGCGCGGGCCTACATGGCGCGTCGAAGGCGCCTGACACACGCCCGCGATACTATTCACGACCGAAATCGGAAAATTAGCTCCGGCGGCGCACATGCGGTGGGACACGCGTGCGTTCGGCATCACCCGCGCGAGGTGGCTAACAATTTCGCGGCGTTGCGCTAAAAATGCCATTGTGCCCAACATCGTTTCGAAGCGCGCTGCGGTGCGCCGCGCAAGCGCGCGTGGACTGCGGCCTGCATGCGGCCCGCGCACTAGTACGAGCGATTGAATCTGAAAGGGCAAGGCGCGGCACGTGCGCCATGAAAACGCGGCACACGGCAGAAGCAGTTACGAGAAGGAAACTCGCGCGATTCGCGTGCCTCCGTCGACCGAAATCGCTAAATCAGGGCAAGCGATCGGCGACGACCGCGTTTGACGCCACCAATAAATACATGAAAAAATGCAAAAACAAATTTGTCGAGGCCCTCGTTTTGTTTCCTGGTGGGCGCAACACCTGACAAATCCTGCCGAGGGAGCATCGGCCCCAGCTTCTGACACCAAAGGAACCCAAGCACTCAACCTCGACCGCCCTCCAGCAACACGCCTCGGCTCGGACCTGCCTCCAAAGGAGCGGCGGAAGTGGAACAGGGAGCGGAGAGGGGGGGGGGGGGGAGAGAAGAGAGGGGAAGGCCCGGCCCGGCCCAGCCCGGCCAAGCCCGTCCCGACTCACCCGACCCGGCCCTGAGGGGCGGGAGGGAGAGAGGGATGGCAGGAGGGCGGGAGGGCGGGGAGGAGGAGAAGGGATGGCAGGAGGGCGGGAGGGAGGGAGGGAGAGAAGGAGGGAGGGATAGCGAGGAATCGCCAGAGGTCTGGGCATGGGCCCGCCCGCCCGCCAGAAGCTGCAAGCCCCACAGGTCAGCGTAGGAGTCCCTCAGCTGCTGGCTCACGAGGCCCTCCCGGGAGGACAAAGAGGGGCGATACGGTGCGCATTCGAGTGCTGTCGTGCTTGGAGCTCGGCGGAGACCATCGCGATATCCTGGTCGTCCTCGCCGCCATCCTGAGACCGTCCTCCTTCTCCTCCTACCCACAGAGGATCATTACCTTTCGCCCTGTGTGGATCAGATCATCCTGGCATGTAACGACCAGGTCACAAGTTGGGGGGTGGGAAAACCTTCGGTCGTGATCTGTTCCGAAACGGGGGGAGGCCTGGGCGTTCGACGACTCGGTCTCTTCGGGTCGCTGGCTACTGGACCTCTCGACTCTCGCCCCCTTTTGCGGATCGGCGGGTTTGGACGATGGATCGGCCGCCGCGGCCGTTTCGGAGCGTTCCGGAACGCTCTGAGAGCGTTCCGGAACGCCCTGGAACCGATTCATTTTGATGCAAGGCCCGTCCGACCTGCTGCGGCCCGACTCGCTCGCACTTCGCCCTGCGCTACTTCGAACGTGCACCTCGTAAGACGAAGCCAGGACGAGGACAAATTCGGGCGAGGATAAATCGAGAATCTCTGAAATCTGGCGGCTCTGGAGGACGTATCGGGCGCCGCGGCCTTCTCGGAGCGTGCTGGCACGCTCTGAGAACGTTGCGGAACTCTCCGGAACGGACTTATCCTCGTCCTAGCCGTAGCCCCGTCCGACCTCGCCCCCTCCTGCCGCGCCGGCGGTGCGCCCCCCGCGGCCTTCATCCTGTTGCCGATCTCGTGCCGCTGCAGCCAATACTGCGGGCCTCCCCAGGGGCGACGGGCGAGGGCCTTGTCGAGGGGGCGGCATCGGGATCGGAGCGAGAACGATGTATCCAAACGGCTATCATGTGATGTTCAATTCGAGGGGGCGAGCGAAGGGAGGGCTGGGACGACGACGAGGAGACAGGGGCGGAGGAGGCTGCGAAGTGACAGGGTGGGACGACGACGGCGAGGCAGAGGAGAGGAAGGGTGGGCGGGGGGGAGAGGAGGCGGAGGAGGACAGAAGGGGAGACAGGGGAGAGAAGGAGCGACAAGCTCGGCGCGCTCGTGCCATTCATCCGTCCCCAGTGTGCTGAATCGTTTCTCTCATCACTGGCCGAGGTGTCCTAGAATACCTAGATCTCCAGCATGTCCCCGTCGTGAAATTCGCAATCAAGAAAGGGGAGCTTTGCATATTCGGCCAGGGGGAGGCGGTCGAGCAGGAGTACGATCAGGAGGAAGAGGAGCATAAGGGAGGACCCTACTAAAATCACCATGAACTCCATCCACGACTGATCAGGTCACACTGAGGGCGTGGGTCGCGCTGAACAACAACGCGTGCGCCAGGGTGAAGCAATCAGCTCCGTGCAGGCAGCGGCGCCGTGGGCCTGCTTGGACAGATGCGCGCAGAACCTTAGGCCTCGAGGCGGCAAGACGCCGCCCTGCAGGAGCGCGGGGTCCCAGTGCACGGCCCCGCGGACGCTGCCGAATGATACCATCCCAACCCCTGCAACGGCCAATTCGCACAGCGTGAGGCCACAATAGAGGACAGCAGGAGGGGGAACGACGGGCGAGATGAGCAAGAGGCCCCAGAGCCAGGAGATGACGATAATAACAAACACAAAAACACCAAAAGGGAGGCGAGGCCAGGAGAATGGGGAAAACACGCCGCGGTCGGGATCCTGACATACTCGAAAATCACCGATTTACCATCTCGCTGCTCAAAGCTGCCTGGGCGACCTGTTCTACACAATTCAAACCAAGTCCTGCGGCCGATCATGCACCGGGAAAACACGCAACAACCAAAACGAAACATGTAAGTATGTCGGGTGTTCCCTGGTCAAAGAAGCAGGTCGGTTCACACGGATAACGAATAGCGCGCCCATGTGGACGGGCCAACTATAAGTTCACGCAGGAAACCGCACTTTGAAGGCACATGTTTTCGTTCTGGAAAGATAGAGTACGCGTTCAGGTGTAAAGCGCAGGGATAAAACCACCAGGGAGAACCATGTGGAGATAACAGGCCTTCGTTGTGGAGATCACACCGTATGGTGCGTGATGTGGTGTTAGCGATACTCGCGCCGATGTCAGTATATCCTCTCGAATCAAACGAAATCGCTCACACCATGGCGCGATAATATGGTATTATCGATCGCTCCCTGGCATGGTGTCATATTGAATGCTGGGTACAAGCCGATACGAAAGGGCACGAAATCAGTCATCAGACGCAGCCGAGAGGGGGAAGGCTGGGTTCCAGATGTAACTCATTGATCAAGGGGAGCGGCTGCCTCCTCAACATGATGCGGGTGCGTCACGCGGAACGCGGCCCGATCCTCCGAGGCGGCCAGGAAACGGGGGCCTGGGGTGTCACCACCTTCGCGCCCTGCATAAAGAATATCATGACGCATCGTGCCAAGAGTTGCGGGCGGAGTATGTCCAATCAGCCCCCAAACGAATTCATCCTCGCACAACGTGTCAAGACATTCCAATCCTCCACGTTTCGGAACCAGCTCTGCAATTAGCACCCGACGGAAATCGCACAGTATGTCCCCTGCTTGTGGAGCGCGGTATCGATTCCGTTGAACTCCATATATCAAAAACATATGAATACTGGGATCCTGGAGACAACCGTGGACCTCTTAAGACCCTTCTCTGGGATACCCTGTCCGCCATACATCACCAGCACACAATCGAGCTGGACCAGGTAACTGCCGAACTCCTTGCGCGACTGCGTCAGGCGCTCCCGCTGATTCAATTCCAAGCTGACCCCCTTGGCCCGTGTTCTCTGGCTTCGCTTATTTGAACAAATTCTGTGGCCTCCGAACGCCCAAATGAAAGCGCGAATGCAATTTCGCTGTAAGACGCCATGTTATACATTGCAAGAGGTGTTCCGCACCGACCCCTTGCATGGTGGCCCTCGGCCGCGCCGAGATCGTCGGGCCGGAAGCCCATGAACGAACGCGCCATGGTTGACTGAGCACCCCGCCCACCTAACGCAGCAGCCGCAAGCCGTAAAAAACTCAAGCTTGCGTTTGCACTCAGATTCCGCATGCCCAACCCCGCGAGTTCGGGGCGAGAGATCACGCCAGGGGACCGCGAGATTCCCCATTGTGGTTGCAACCCGAAAATGGCCACTATTGCGCAAATTCAGAACGCGAGTCCTCACTGAAAATCCACGGGCCCGTCCAAATGCCAGGCGTTGAATACGGCTCCCCGCCTAAAGATGCACGTCCAATGCCTCGCTGCATGCGCATGCCGTCGGGGCAAAACTCGCCGCGGCGGCGCGCGGCAACGCTCCGCCGTCTTTGCGCGGCGCAAGAGTATTGGGGGTGGACATGGACGCAAGTCTTCCGCATCTCACCTCGGGCCTGCCTAGCGCGCCCCCCAGTGGGCCCCCGCAGCGCGGGGGGGTCCGCGCTGGGAGCAGGAGGAAGATAAGGGCGCAGACCATGGCGCCTCCAGAAGGGGCGCGGAGCCCGAACAGGATGCCCAATCCAATTCAGAATCTCAGCCACAGCTCCAACGAGCAGGGAGAGAGAAAGGGGGCCCCGCCCCCCGTGGCCCGTCGCACGCCGCGCACGCCTTGCCGCCGAGCTCCGCCCTCACATCGACGTGGAAGAGGCATGCGGCGGCGGGGGGAACGACGGGCGACGCGACACCCGACATACGACGGGGCGGGGCCAAACAAACGAATCAGAACCGTCCGAGAGACTCTTGGAGGGCATAGTGCGAAGGGCCTTTACAACCTCGCACTCGCTCCACATGGCCATGGGGGGGGGGACCGGGTCGGGGCAGCTCGAGGCGGAAACGCGACTATCTTCACCTTCGCGCAGCTCGGCTACAACGATGTCATCGCCAGTCCTAGGATGCTTCTCCAGTTCGATACGCCAAATCTTCATTTTCTGATTAGCCGAGTTGCTGGGCACGACTGGCGGGCCTTTGCGCGCTTCGCGGAGATGGCGCACACTGTTGAGAGCGCCGCGAGCAGCGCATCGCCTGCAACAACACACGGGGCCAACAACAATGACATCGCACCCGAGAGCATGAAACGGGCCGGGCGCTCGATGGGGGGCAAACGCAGGCGAGCCGCCGGGACTGGCCGCGCCACCGAGCTCCGCCGCCAGCCTGGCCGCGACCTCCCCCACGACCATGCCGGCCGCCCCCGGAGCAACCCTCGCCGCCTCCGAGCGAGCGAGCGAGAGCGACTCGCCGAAACTACGAAACCAACTGTCGCGCGCATGCCGCTGGATCGGGGGGGGAGACACTGGCGGGCATCCTCGTAGCGCAACAGGGCCCTGAGCGGAGTGACATTCTTGGCAACGCGCCCGCGGTCGCTGCGCCCCCATGCCACGCGGGCAGCAGAGTGCCATATCTCATGGGTGGTGAAAGACAGGGGGGGAGGAGCGGGGGGGCCAACGAGCTGGGAGCAAAGTCGGGATCTACCGCCGTCCATCTCGGCGCCCCCAACAGCCGCTGGGCTGCCCGGGCAAGAAACTGCAACGTGGATCGGTGATTTCGGAACTCGCCAGCAACTGCCCTCGCAAGCCCATCCGCGACAGAGCGCTGAGAGGCCCCGACTGCGACAGAAAAGTCGGCCCACAAGTTCCCCGCCCACCCGCGCAAACAATCCCCGCTCAACGGCCTCGTCAAAAAATCAAGCGGGCGGGGCGCCATTTAAATTTAAGCTGCAAGACGCCAAGGATCGAGAACACCCGCCACCAAATTCGCGCGCGCTTGGACGCGCTGGGCGCCAGCTCGCGGCCCCGAGAGTTGCCTTCTCGCGCCGCGGCCTGCAGCTCAGAGCAGAGCGAGCTGTGAAGGAGATTGGCCACTAACGCGCGAAACACTGCTCATCTTTCGGCCCGACCGATGATCCGACGGGGGCCCGGGATAACCCCGCAGAGGGCCCCAATGGGGAGCAGGTCAGGGCACGGCTGCGCAGCGGCCCAGCCTGCCCTCGCCACCTCTGGGATTGAGCCACGCGGACAGCTACCGCCCAAAAAGGATCCAGGCCCCCAGGGGCCAGACACACGACCAAGCCTCGCCGCGACAAGGCAGCCCGCAAGGGCCTGAACGCAAATGGACAAAGCAGGGAGGCCAAACGCGCGGTAGGCGCTGTCTGCCCGAGGCCCCCCGCAGATGCCCAAGCTAGCGCAAATCAGGGCAGCCCTGTGCTCGCCCAAGGGGCCAAAGCCGCCATTCGATACAGACCCGAGGCAGCAATGCCACGCGTGGCCAGATGTGCCCCCAGGGGCGAAAGCAAGCCAGACAGCCCGCGCACGCGTCGCACTCGAGCTGAGCACTCGCAGCAGGGAAGGAAACCGCAGTTGCCCAGACAGCACACAAGGCCCCCATCTGCGACGGACAGTTCACACCTTCAACACCATGACGTGCCGCTCTGTGCCATGCAGTATCCGTGCCGTCGGAGGTGCTCATGTGCTCGGGTGGGCGCCTGTGGCCCCATTGTTGGATGCCCTCTACGAGTGCCAGCCTGATGTCGCACGGGGGCGTGACCAATAATGAGTAGGACGCGCCTGCGTCACTGCGCAAGGCATGCGCATTGACCATCATCATTTGAATCCGCAGAACAAGGAAAACCAAATGGCTGACATGGGCCCTCAGGCCTGCTGCCACGTCGGGTTGCCCAACATCGCCACGTAGCTGCAACCAGGCCTGCTGGGCCCTGCTCGTCTTCTCTCTGCCACCCCACACACACACACACGTATAATACTTAACGACCGCCCCCAACGTGCGGTCGTAAACCGAGTCGCACTGGGGTCGTATT